GTCGCCACGGGATGCGCCATGCATCGCCACGTCACCACGGGCTGCGCCACGCATCGCCACATCACTATGGGTTGCTTCACGCTACGCCACGTAAGTAAAGGATGCGCCACGCAACGCCACGTCACCACGGGATGCGCTATGCATCGCCACGTCACCACGGGCAGCGCTACGCATCACCACGTCACTACGGGTTGCGTCACGCAATGCCACGTCACCACGGGATGCGTCACGCATCGCCACGTCACCATGGGCAATGCCACGCATCGCCACGTCACAATGGGTTGCGTCACGCAACGCCACGTCAATACAGGATGTGCCACGCATCGCCACGTCACTATGGGTCGCATCACGCAACGCCACGTCCCTACGGGATGCGCCACGTCACCACTGGATGCACCATGCATCGCCACGTCACCACGCGCAGCGCAACGGATTGCCACGTCACTATGGGTTGCGTCACGCAACGCCACGTCCCTACAGGATGCGCCGCGCATCGCCATGTCACCACGGGATGCACCGTGCATCGCCACGTGACCACGCGCAGCGCAATGCATTACCACGTCACTCTGGGTTGCGTCACGCAACGCCAAGTCACTACGGAATGCGCCACGCATCGCCACGTCACCACGGGATGCGCCATGCATCGCCACGTCATCGCGGGCAATGCCACGCATCGCCACGTCACAATGGGTTGCGTCACGCAATACCACGTCACTACAGGATGCGTTACGCATCGCCACGTCACCACGGGATGCACCACGCATCGCCACGTCATCACGAGCAGCGTGACATATTGCCACGTCACTATGGGTTGCATCACGCAATGCCACGTCACTATGGGATGCGCCACGAATCGCCACGTCACCGCAGGCAGCGCGACGCATCGCGACGTCACTATGGGTTGCGTCATGCAACGCCACGTCACTACGGGATGCGCCACACATCACCACGTCACCACGGGCAGCGCTTCGCACAACCACGTCACTATGGGTTGCGTCACGCAATGCCACGTCACCACGGGATGCGCCACGCATCGCCACGTCGCCACGGGATGTGCCATGCATCGCCACGTCACCACGGGCAATGCCACGCATCGTCACGTCACTATGGGTTGCGTCACGCAACGCCACGTCACTACAGGATGTGCCTCGCATCGCCACGTCACTATGGGTTGTGTCACGCAACGCCATGTCCCTACGAGATGCGCCACGCATCGCCACATCACCACGGGATGCACCATGCATCGCCACGTCACCACGCGCAGCGCAACGCATTGCCACGTCACTATGGGTTCCGTCGCGCAACGCCACGTCCCTACGGGATGCGCCGCGCATCGCCATGTCACCACAAGATGCACCATGCATCGCCACGTCACCACGCGCAGCGCAAAGCATTGCCACGTCACTATGGGTTGCGTCACGCAACACGAAACCCCTACGGGATGCGCCACCAATGCCACGTCACCACGGGATGCGCCATGCATCGCCACGTCACCACGGCCAGTGCCACGCATCGCCACGTCACAATGGGTTGCGTCACGCAATGCCACGTCACTACAGGATGCGCCACGCATCGCCACGTCACCACGGGATGCACCACGCATTGCCACGTCATCACGAGCAGCGTGACACATTGCCACGTCACTATGGGTTGCATCACGCAATGCCACGTCACCATGGGATGCGCCACGCATCGCCACGTCACCGCTGCAAGCGCGACGCATCGCGACGTCACTATGGGTTGCGTCACGCAACGCCACGTCACTACGGGATGCGCCACGCATTGCCACGTCACCACGGGCAGCGCTACGCACAACCACGTCACTATGGGTTGCGTCACGCAATGCCGCGTCACCACGGGATGCGCCACGCATCGCCACGTCGCCACGGGATGCGCCATGCATCGCCACGTCACCACGGGCTGCGCCACGCATCGCCACTTCACTATGGGTTGCGTCACGCAATGCCACGTCGCTACGGGATGCGCCACGCATCGCCACGTCACCACGGGATGCACCATGCATCCCCGCGTCACCACGCACAGCGCAACGGATTGCCACGTCACTATGGGTTGCGTCATGCAACGCCAAGTCACTACGGGATGCGCCACGCATCGCCGCGTCACCACAGGATGCGCCACGCATCGCCACGTCACTACGGGCAGTGCCACGCATCGCCACGTCATAATGGGTTGCGTCACGCAATTCCACATCACTACAGGATGCGCCACGCATTGCCACGTCACCACGGGATGCACCACGCATGGCCACGTCACCACAAGCAGCGTGACACATTGCCACCCCACTATGGGTTGCGTCAAGCAATGCCACGTCACTACGGGATGCGCAACGCATCGCCACGTCACCACAGGCAGCGCGACGCATCACGACGTCACTATGGGTTGCGTCACGCAACGCCATGTCACTACGGGATGTGCCACGCATTGCCACATCACCACTGGCAGCGCTACGCACCACCACGTCACTATGGGTTGCGTCACGCAATGCCACGTCAACACGGGATGCGCCACGCATCGCCACGTCGCCATGGAATGCGCCATGCATCGCCACGTCACCACGGGTTGCGCCATGCATCACCACGTCACTATGGGTTGCGTCAAGCAATGCCTCGTCACTACAGGATGCGCCACGCATCTCCACGTCACTACGGCATGCGCCACACATCGCCACGTCACCACAAGATGCGCCATGCATCGCCACAGGTTGCGCCATACATGGCCACGTCACTATGGGTTGCGTCACGCAACGCCACGTCATTACGGGATGCGCCATGCATCGCCACGTCACCATTGGATGCGCCATGCATCGCCACGTCACCATGGGCAGCCCTACACATCGCCATATGTTAACAAACCGTCAACCTCGCGAGTCTCTCACAGCAACTCTACAAACCCAGATGGTAACTGACGAAGTCACACGCGGGAAACGGAAACTGTTGCGTCCCAGGTCGGCTACTAATTCAGGCTTTGCATAGGGTCGCCTGCTGTGTCTGATGAGTACAGTACAGTAAAAGGTTGTCTCTCGACTCCAGGTGAAGCCGCCAGAGAACATCCTGTGCGGGCAGTGGTCACGAAAAACTGCTTGTGTCTGCCCGAGACAAGCCTCCTGAAGGTGGTTGTTTGTCATACAGATCCTTTGAGTTTGAGATCAGGTTCAGGGTATTTCATCATCAGAAAAAGCGGTAAAGAGCTGAGAGTGTTTACGGACTATTAACTGGAAGCTGTGAAAGTTCCAGCTAAATGTGAAATACTAGCAGTTATTCACCATAAAGCCATCCATTCCTTCTGCAAATTGCATAAAGGATTTAAGGAAAATAACAAAAATGGTGGCGCACGCTCATAGCCACCGCAGCATAATGTTGGTGCAATAGAAATCTGTCATGTCGTGCGGCGGAGAATGTTTCGAATCACTCGCCCCACCTCCTCTCCATAATCTTCCTGTGCATGATGCCCCACCTGCTCGGAAAGGAATTCATGCAAGGAAAGAAGAAGAAAACAACAGCGAAGAAAAATTAAGATGCGGCGGGATCAAGAAAAAAGGGGCACAAAGAGCAGGATATAGTTGGCACAACACATGTGGGGACAGCTCAATGAAAGTTAAGGGATGCTTTTGCAACCTTACAAAACATCTTGTCCTCATTTTCTCAACACTCACCTCGTCTAGAGTCACAAAAACAGCCCCTGCTAAGCCTCCCAACCAATCCCCATCAAAGGACAGCCAGCGGTCCTTCATGCCCCACATGACCGTGGCTGCAGAGGAGGGCTGGCGTGACAGTTGCCTCACCCATGCATCATTCCGTCTGCACTCATCTCGACTAGAGTCCTTGTGAGCGATTTTTTAGAGTTCTCAAAAATCACTCTGGAGGGCTGGCGTGACAGTGGCCTCACCCATGCATCAATCCCTCTGCACTCATCTCGAGTAGAGTCACAAGCGCCGCCCCTGCTGCTCAACACACTTCACGAACTCCTTGGAAGGACAGCCAGCGGACATTCATGCCGCAGATGACAGAGGATGAGGAGGAAGGTTGGCTTGACCCCAAGAACGTGCACTATGGGTGAGGCGACTTTTGAGTCGACTCAAAAGTCACCTAGATGACAGTGGATGAGGAGGAAGGCTGGCTTGAACCCACGCTTCTCGAACGCCGTCAAAAGACTGCCAGCGGTCCTCCTTCATGCCCCACATGAGGAGGAGGGTTGGCGTGACACTGACTCTTGTTTCCTCTATCTGCTCTCACCTCGTCCAGAGTCACTAGAACAGGATCCCCGTCAAAAGACTGCCCTACAAGTGTCAGGATCCCCGTCAAAAGGCTGCCCTACAAGCGTCAGGATCCCCGTCAAAAGACTGCCAGCGGTCCTCCTTCATCCCCCACATGAGGAGGGTTGGCGTTACACTGAGTCGTTTTCATAACTTACTACCAATTGAGGGTCCTCCTTCCTCTGTCTGTATGTACTGACACGTGGCATGTGCTCATCATGTGGGGCATGTACGAGCCACTCACTCACCTCGTCCAGAGTCACTAGAACGGCCCCGGCTGCCCTGCACGCTTCCCTGACCCCGTCAAACGTCTGCCAGCGGTCCTTCATGCCCCACATGACTTTAGAGAGACCTCACTACCAATTCCTCTCTCAATACTCACCTCGTCCAGAGTCACTAGAACGGCCCCGGCTGCCCTGCACGCTTCCCTGACCCCGTCAAATGCCTGCCAGTGGTCCTTCATGCCCCACATGACTTTAGAGAGACCTCACTACCAATTCCTCTCTCTATACTCACCTCCTCCAGAGTCACTAGAACGGCCCCGGCTGCCCTGCACGCTTCCCTGACCCCGTCAAACGTCTGCCAGCGGTCCTTCATGCCCCACATGACTTTAGAGAGACCTCACTACCAATTCCTCTCTCAATACTCACCTCGTCCAGAGTCACTAGAACGGCCCCGGCTGCCCTGCACGCTTCCCTGACCCCGTCAAATGCCTGCCAGTGGTCCTTCATGCCCCACATGACTTTAGAGAGACCTCACTACCAATTCCTCTCTCTATACTCACCTCGTCCAGAGTCACTAGAATGGCCCCGGATGCCCTGCACGTCTCCCTGACCCCATCAAACGACTGCCAGCGGTCCTTCATGCCCCAAATAACGGTGGAAGAGGAGGAGGGCTGGGCAGACACAGCAGCGAGGGCCTTGGAGACCAGAGGGAGTGACGCCTGGTAAGGGGGGGGGATAAAGAGAGAGGAAGGGCACAAGCAGGCATTATCAAGCCAAAGCCCAGTGGCAGCAGCAGCGAGGACTGAGAGGGGAGGGCAGAGACAGCTGAGAGGGCCTTGGAGACCAGAGGGAGGGACGCCTGTGCGGAGGGAGGGCACAAGCAGGCATTATCAAGCCAAAGTCGAGTGGCAGCAGCAGCGGTCCTTCATGCCCCAGACGACTGTGGCTGAGGAGGAAAGTGGCAGCAGCAGCATTATCAAGCCAAAGTCGAGTGGCAGCAGCATCATTATCAAGCCAAAGTTGAGTGGCAGCAGCAGCATTATCAAGCCAAAGTTGAGTGGCAGCAGCAGCATTATCAAGCCAAAGTCGAGTGGCAGCAGCAGCATTATCAAGCCAAAGTCGTGTGGCAGCAGCAGCATTATCAAGCCAAAGTCGAGTGGCAGCAGCAGCATTATCAAGCCAAAGTCGAGTGACAGCAGCAGCATTATCAAGCCAAATTCGAGTGGCGGCAGCAGCGGTGGTTGATGCCCCCAGATGATAGGAGGAGAGCTGGCTTGAGGAGGAGGGACAGAGAGGGCCTTGGCGACCACCAGGGGGAGTGACAGCTGGGAGGGAAGAGGGAGGGAGAGAGGGGGGGAGAGAGGGGGGGAACAAGGGGGGGCATGAAATGACTGCCAGCGGTCCTTCATGCCCCAGATGACAGTGGGTGAGGAGGAGAGCTGGCATTAAGCGGCCGAGAGGCCCTTGGCGACCACCAGGGGGAGTGACGGCTGGGAGGGGCAGAGTGGGGAGGGGGGAAGAATAAAGCCAAAGCTCTGAGCGGCGGCAGCAGCAGCAGCAGCAGCAGCAGCGGTGGTTGATGCCCCCAGATGACAGGAGGAGAGCTGGCATTAAGACAGCAGGAGGGCTGGCTTGAGAGGAGGGCTGGCTTGAGGAGGAGGGCTGGCTTGAGGAGGAGGGCTGGCTTGAGGAGGAGGGCTGGCTTGAGGAGGAGGGCTGGCTTGAGAGGAGGCCTGGCTTGAGACTGCAGTTCTGGCCTTGGCGACCACCAGGGGGAGTGACGGCTTGGAGGGGGATCGAAGCAAAGCCCGATGCGCCACTGGCCCGGGTGATGGCTGTGAGGTGAGAGCACAGCCCCATGCGCCACTGGCAACGTAGGGCCGGCAGTAAGGGAAAAAGCTCTACCCTCCTTGTGCGGGACAGCCCACCTTGCTCACCTTGAGCTCCTTTTGTTGTCACTCATGGTTGGAATGGCAGCAGTACTAGTGAAATGCTTTAGAGCAGCAGTACTAGCAAGTAAAGAAAAAGAGTGAAAAATACCCTAGCTAAGACAACAGCCCACCTTGCTCACCTTGAGCTCCTTTTGAAAGGCCCTCGTTATGGCTGTGAGGGCACAGCCCCATGCGCCATGGGATAGGTGCAGTTGCTGTGAGCTCAAAACCCATCCCAACCGCTCTGCGTACCTTGAGATCCTTCTGAAACGCTCGGGTGATGGATGTGAGTGCAAACCCCGAGGCACCACTGGCGAGGTAGGGCCGGCGGTACACCATTGCATCCTCCTCGTCTATCAGGTAGCAGCCGGCCTCCTCCAGCACTCGATCGCTCGCACGTAGCGGGTCCTGCCAGCAGTTGGAGAACGAGGAGCAAGGGGAGAGCCGACTTTTGAGGCGCCTCAAAAGCGGGTCCTGCCAGCAGTTGGAGAACGAGGAGCAAGGGGAGAGCCCAGACGGTGAATGGGTGGCGAGGTGAAAAAAGGAGTGTTTTGAGACGTCTCAAAACAAGGGGAGAGCCCAGAAGGTGAATGGGTGGCGAGGTAGGGTCGGCGGTACACCACTGCATCCTCCTCGTCGATTAGATAGCACCCCCCTTCCTCCAGCACTCGATCACTGGCTCTTAGTGGATCCTGGCATGTGGTGAAGGGTGGACGTGAGGGGAGAGAGAGATTGACGGGATGGTAAAGGGGTGAGGCACTAGCGAGGTAGGGCCGGCGGCACACCATGGCATCCTCCTCGTCTATTAGGTAGCACCCCGCTTCCTCCAGCACCCTGTCACTGGCTCTCAGAGGGTCCTGCATTTGGGGAAATGGGAGGCGTAAGGAGGGCAAGGGAGGTGGGACACTGCCAAGGTAGGGCCGGCGGCACACCATGGCATCCTCCTCGTCTATTAGGTAGCACCCTGCTTCCTCCAGCACCCTGTCACTGGCTCTCAGAGGGTCCTGTCATCAGAAAAAAATGAAGGTAGATTAAGGGGGGAGTGAGGACGCTACACCGTTGCATCCTCCTCAACGATCAGGTAACACCCTGCTCCCTCCAGCAATCAATCGCTGGCTCTCAGAGGGTCCTGCATGATCTTGTGACGAGGGAGAGTGCAGCAGAGGGGAGCGGACAGAGGGAGGTGGGACAGTGCCAAGGTAGGGTGGGCGATACACAATTGCATCCTCCTCACTGATTAGATAACAGCCGTGCTTCCTCCAGCACCCAATCACTGGCTCTCAGTGGGTCCTGCCACGAGCTGGAGGGGGAGCGGGAGGACAATGAGGGGAGTAAGGGGAGAGGGGTGGGCGGTACACCAGGGCATCCTCCTCATTGATTACAGCCGGAACACCATGGCATCCTCCTCATTGATTACAGCCGGAACACCATGGCATCCTCCTCATTGATTACAGCCGGAACACCATGGCATCCTCCTCATTGATTACAGCCGGAACACCATGGCATCCTCCTCATTGATTACAGCCGGAACACCATGGCATCCTCCTCATTGATTACAGCCGGAACACCATGGCATCCTCCTCATTGATTACAGCCGGAACACCATGGCATCCTCCTCATTGATTACAGCCGGAACACCATGGCATCCTCCTCATTGATTACAGCCGGAACACCATGGCATCCTCCTCATTGATTACAGCCGGAACACCATGGCATCCTCCTCATTGATTACAGCCGGAACACCATGGCATCCTCCTCATTGATTACAGCCGGAACACCATGGCATCCTCCTCATTGATTACAGCCGGAACACCATGGCATCCTCCTCATTGATTACAGCCGGAACACCATGGCATCCTCCTCATTGATTACAGCCGGAACACCATGGCATCCTCCTCATTGATTACAGCCGGAACACCATGGCATCCTCCTCATTGATTACAGCCGGAACACCATGGCATCCTCCTCATTGATTACAGCCGGAACACCATGGCATCCTCCTCATTGATTACAGCCGGAACACCATGGCATCCTCCTCATTGATTACAGCCGGAACACCATGGCATCCTCCTCATTGATTACAGCCGGAACACCATGGCATCCTCCTCATTGATTACAGCCGGAACACCATGGCATCCTCCTCATTGATTACAGCCGGAACACCATGGCATCCTCCTCATTGATTACAGCCGGAACACCAGGGCATCCTCCTCATTGATTACAGCCAGAACACCAGGGCATCCTCCTCATTGATTACAGCCGGAATACCAGGGCATCCTCCTCATTGATTACAGCCGGTACACCAGGGCATCCTCCTCATTGATTACAGCCGGAACACCAGGGCATCCTCCTCATTGATTACAGCCGGAACACCAGGGCATCCTCCTCATTGATTACAGCCAGAACACCAGGGCATCCTCCTCATTGATTACAGCCGGAACAGCCGACCGGGTGCTATGTAACTTTCGTGCATAACAGCCGATCGGGCACTGAAGTTATGTACATAACACCCTGCTTCCTCCAGTGCCCGATCGCTAGCACGTAGCGGGTCCTGCCACTAGGTGACGCGGGGGAGGAAGGGAAAAGAGGGGCAGCGGATTTTTCCTACCGTACCAATGGATGAAGGTAGGGTCGGCGGGTCCCTACCAATGGATGAAGGTAGGGTCGGCGGGTCCCTACCACTACTTTTGAGTCGACTCAAAAGTCACCTCGTAGGGTGGGCGGGTCCCTCCCTACCACCACTTCAAGCGGGTCCCTCCCTACCACCACTGGATTTTTGCTCTCCAAGCAGCAAGTTGGAGGAGGCTTTTGAGGCGCCTCAAAAGTTTTCCTCTCCAAGCAGCAAGTTGGAGGAGGCTTTTGAGGCGCCTCAAAAGTTTTCCTCTCCAAGCAGGAAGTTGGAGGAGGCCGGCAGGCATGAGGGCAGCTTGGGGTGCTCTCAGGGAACAAAGAGCAAGAAGCAGCAGGCAGCAAGCAGCAAGCAGCAAGCAGGTAACCCTACCACGTGCAGGCAGGTATACACATCAATCCCTACCTGGGCAAAGATCTCTCCGAGCAGGAAGTTGGAGAAGGCCGAGAGGCACGAGGGCAGCTTGGCGTGCTCTCAGGGAAAACCGACCTACCAGGTAGTATGAAGCAGGTGCAGCACGCAGGCCGCAGCAGGCAGCACATGCAGCAAGGAGGCCATACCTGGGCAAAGATCTCTCCCAGCAGGAAGTTGGAGAAGGCCGACAGGCACGAGGGCAGCTTGGCGTGCTCTCAGGGAAAACTGACCTACCAGGTAGTATGCAGCAGGTGCAGCACGCAGGCCGCAGCAGGCAGCACATGCAGCAAGGAGGCCATACCTGGGCAAAGATCTCTCCCAGCAGGAAGTTGGAGAAGGCCGACAGGCACGAGGGCAGCTTGGCGTGCTTGTCTGTGATCTGAAATGGGTGGGTAGGGGGAGGGTGGGTGGAGGGTGGGTGGAAGGAGGGAGGAGAGAGGGGTTGACACGACAGCTGGGAGCAAACGCAGCCAAGCACGCATTTTGAGTCGACTATAAAATTTTCTGTGATCGGATTGGTTGGGAGGAGGGAGGGATGGGGGAGAGAGAGGAGGAGGAAGCAGCGAGGGTAGGAGGGGTGGGAATGGGGGAATATGACTTTTGAGTCTTCTCAAGGCGTGGGAGAAGGTTTTTGAGAATTCTCAAAAACTAGGAGGGGTGGGAATGGGGGAATATGACTTTTGAGTCTTCTCAAGGCGCGGGAGAAGGTTTTTGAGAATTCTCAAAAACTAGGAGGAGGGGTGGGAATGGGGGAATATGACTTTTGATTCTTCTCAAGGCGTGGGAGAAGGTTTTTGAGAATTCTCAAAAACTAGGAGGGGTGGGAATGGGGGAATATGACTTTTGATTCTTCTCAAGGCGTGGGAGAAGAGGCATGAAACGTGAAGAGTAGCCTCATCAGTAACTTTTGAGAATGTCCAACGATCAATCGAAAAAACATTGTGTGAACGAGTTAACAGAAAGAAAGAGAAAGAAAGAAGGAACGAAAGAAAGAAAGAAAGTAAGGAAGGAAGGAAGGAAGGAAGGAAGGAAGGAAGGAAGGAAGGAAGGAAGGAAGGAAGGAAGGAAGGAAGGAAGGAAGGAAGGAAGGAAGGAAGGAAGGAAGAAAGAAAGAGAGAAAGAGAGAAAGAGAGAAAGAGAGAAAGAAAGAAAGAAAGAAAGAAAGAAAGAAAGAAAGAAAGAAAGAAAGAAAGAAAGAAAGAAAGAAAGAAAGAAAGAAAGAAAGAAAGAAAGAAAGAAAGAAAGAAAGAAAGAGAAAAACACTCGGAGTGTGTCGCGACCCCGAAACATCTTGCCCATAACGTGAACACGAATTTGTGCCACTTAGTTGCTGTAGTATTTTAGGCTAGCAGTTGTGACACTCACATGTGACACTCACATGTGACACTCACATGTGACACTCACATGTGACACTCACATGTGACACTCACATGCAACACTCACATGTGACACTCACATGCGACACTCACATGCGACACTCACATGCGACACTCACATGCGACACTCACATGCGACACTCACATGCGACACTCACATGCGACACTCACATGCGACACTCACATGCGACACTCACATGCGACACTCACATGCGACACTCACATGCGACACTCACATGCGACACTCACATGCGACACTCACATGCGACACTCACATGCGACACTCACATGTGACACTCACATGCGACACTCACATGCGACACTCACATGCGACACTCACATGTGACACTCACATGCGACACTCACATGCGACACTCACATGCGACACTCACATGCGACACTCACATGTGACACTTAGCTGTGTCACTTACAGGTGGGTTGATAAATATGAGGTGGCGAATCCGGGCAGGGTTGGAAAGGACAAATTCAGCAGCGGGCAGACAGAAATAGCCCTGCGTGGGATAAAGTCGGGCAGAGAGAAAGAAAACGGGAAGGCATTGGGAAGAGGTAATATCTGAGCGGAAAACGAAAGGATTTGCCACCCTCACACCTTGAAATCTTTTCCCCATTCCCTCTCCTGAGCCACAACAGAAACAGCCACAAGAGAAACATCCTCCACTCCCATCATTGCCACCAGCCTCCCCAGCTTCCCACCCACAAGGACCCCACTCTCCCTTCACTGCAACCCTCACTCCCTCACTCCCTCACTCCCTTCCCTCACTCCCTCACTCCCTCATTCCCTCACTCCCTCACTCCCTTCTCACCTGAGCTACAATGGAAACATACTCCACTCCCATCGTTGCCACCCGAACCCCCTGCAGGTCAAGAGCACAGTCCCTCGGGGAAAACCCGAACCTCTTCTGGTCTGGATTGCTAGAACCTTCCTCTTTCCCTCACTCCCTCCTTACCTGAGCCACAATGGAAACATCGCCCACCCCCGTTGTTGCCAGCCACCGGCTTTCCCAGCTCTCGACTGTAGTCGCTCGAGGAAACATTTGAGTCGACTCAGAAGTCACCTCGCTCGGGGAATACGCAAAACTCTTCTGACCCGCTAGTACATTAACCTCTTTCCTTTACTTGCTCACTCCCTCACTCCCTCACTCCCTCACTCCCTCACTCCCTCACTCCCTCACTCCCTCACTCCCTTCTCACCTGGGCTACAACAGAAACATCCTCCACTCCCATCGTTGCCACCAGATTTCCAAGTTCCCGAGCGTAGTCACTCGGGGAATACCCGAACCTCTTCTGGTCTGCCTGGGGCTTATCCGAGCCTCCGAACCCGAGCCAATCCGGCGCCACGCACCGCACGCCGATCGCCTCCTCCGAACCTAGCCCTCCTGCTTCGGCCGAACCTCCTCCTCCTGCTGCCGCTGCTGCACTGCTGGTGAGGGCGAAGGTCCCAGGGTTGATGGTGTTGATAACTTGGCGGAAAGAGTAGCTGTGAGAGGGGAGGCCGTGGAGGAGGAGGAGAGGCGGAGAGGAGGAGGGGGAAGGAGGCGCGGGTTCATCTCCTTGTGTGTCGATGACAAACCACCTGCAGTGGGTGGGAGCAAGGTGGGGAAGCAAGCAGCAAGGGGAAACTAGTTTTCTTGCCTTACCCTCCCTCCTTCGCCCCTGCACTCCCTGCCCAAGAATTCAGCCTTCCCCCGTCTTGTGCAGCGGCCACCACCCCCATCCGCGCGTAGCAAGTGCATCTTGAGACGTCTCACAACTGCACTTTCTTTCTACACGTCGCCCCCCCTGCACTCCCCGCCCAAGGATTCAGCCTTCCCCCGTCTTGTGCAGCGGCCGCCATCCCCATCCCTCCATCTCACCTGAAAAACCACCTGAGAACTCACCTGAGCCCCTCAAAGGAAGCCTGAAATCCCTCCCCCATTCTCAGCCCGAACACAGGATCCCGCACCTCCTGCACTCCGCCTGCGTCCCTACCCCCCCGCTCGTTCCCCCCACCTCTCCTGCACTCCCCCTGCTGCCTGAAACGAGACGAGTTCTGAGGCGCCGCAAAGCTCATCTGAGCCGTTCCCTCACCTGAGCCGTTCCCTCATCTGAGCCGTTCCCTCATCTGAGCCGTTCCCTCATCTGAGCCGTTCCCTCATCTGAGCCGTTCCCTCATCTGAGCCGTTCCCTCATCTGAGCCGTTCCCTCATCTGAGCCGTTCCCTCATCTGAGCCCCCTGAAAAGGCTTGAAAGCCCTCCCCCATTCTCAGCCAGCCCACAGGGTCCCGCACCTCCTGCACCCCGCCTGCTGCCCTCCAACTCCGGCCCACCAACTCCGGCCCACCAACTCCGGCTCACCAACTCCGGCCCACCAACTCCTTCACCCGCCTTTCGTGCAACCCCCCTGCTAACCCCTCACCTGAGCTCCTCAGAGAAAGCCTGAAAGCCCTCCCCCATCCTCAGCCAGCCCACAGGGTCCCGCACCTCCTGCACTCTCCCTACTGCCCTTTCACCTCTTGCCCTTCATGCACTCTGTTTGCTTCCCTCACCTAAGCCCCTCTGAGGAAGCCTGAAAGCCCTCCCCCATCCTCAGCCAGCCCACAGGGTCCCACACCTCCTGCATTCTCCCTACTGCCGCTTCACCCGCCGCCCTCCCCCTCGCACCACCTGCACCCCGCCTGCTTTCCCCTTTCCCCTCACCTGAGCCCCTCTGAAGGGGCCTGGAAGCCCTCCCCCACCCTCAGCGCGAACACAGGATCCCGCACCTCCTGCATCCCCCCTGCCTCACCTGAAAAACCACCTGAGAACTCACCTGAGCCCCTCAGAGGAAGCCTGAAAGCCTTACCCCATCCTCAGCCCAAACACAGGATCCCACCTCCTGCACTCCCCTTGCTTTTTCCCTCACCTGAGCCCCTCGGAAGAGGCCTGAAAGCCCTCCCCCATCCGCAGCCCGAACACAGGATCCCGCACCTCCTGCACCCCGCCTGCTGCCCCTTCCCCCCCCGCCACCGCCACCACTCTCCCCCTCTCCTCCCACTCCTCCGCCCTGCCACCTCCTTCGGCGTATTTCCCTGTGGAATGGGGGGGGAGGGGGGGAGGAGGATACAGGATTCAGATTTCCCCCCTGCTGCCCCTCCTGCCCCTCCCCCCCTGAAGGGGAGGAAGGTAGAGAATTCAGATTTCCCCCCTGCTGCCCCTTCTCCTTTACCAGCCACCACCACCACCCTCCTCCGCTCCTCCCACTCCTCTGCCCTGCCGCCCCCTTGGGCGTATTTCCCTGTGGGAAAAGGCGGGAATGGGAGAAAGAAGGTACAGCTCTCCTGTTGCTGCTCTCCTGTTGCTGCTTCTCTGTTGCTGCTTCTCTGTTGCTGCTTCTCTGTTGCTGCTTCTCTGTTGCTGCTTCTCTGTTGCTGCTTCTCTGTTGCTGCTTCCCTGTTGCTGCTTCTCTGTTGCTGCTTCTCTGTTGCTGCTTCTCTGTTGCTGCTTCTCTGTTGCTGCTTCCCTGTTGCTGCTTCTCTGTTGCTGCTTCTCTGTTGCTGCTTCCCTGTTGCTGCTTCTCTGTTGCTGCTTCTCTGTTGCTGCTTCTCTGTTGCCTTTCCCTTCCCCCCCTTGCCCACTCTCGCCCTGCCCACTCTCGCCTTGCCCACTCTCGCCTTGCCCACTCTCGCCCTGCCCACTCTCGCCTTGCCCACTCTCGCCTTGCCCACTCTCGCCCTGCCCACTCTCGCCTTGCCCACTCTCGCCTTGCCCACTCTCGCCTTGCCCACTCTCGCCTTGCCCACTCTCGCCCTGCCCACTCTCGCCCTGCCTGCCCACTCTCGCCTTGCCCACTCTCGCCTTGCCCACTCTCGCCTTGCCCACTCTCGCCTTGCCCACTCTCGCCTTGCCCACTCTCGCCTTGCCCACTCTCGCCTTGCCCACTCTCGCCTTGCCCACTCTCGCCTTGCCCACTCTCGCCTTGCCCACTCTCGCCTTGCCCACTCTCGCCTTGCCCACTCTCGCCTTGCCCACTCTCGCCTTGCCCACTCTCGCCTTGCCCACTCTCGCCTTGCCCACTCTCGCCTTGCCCACTCTCGCCTTGCCCACTCTCGCCTTGCCCACTCTCGCCTTGCCCACTCTCGCCTTGCCCACTCTCGCCTTGCCCACTCTCGCCTTGCCCACTCTCGCCTTGCCCACTCTCGCCTTGCCCACTCTCGCCTTGCCCACTCTCGCCTTGCCCACTCTCGCCTTGCCCACTCTCGCCTTGCCCACTCTCGCCTTGCCCACTCTCGCCTTGCCCACTCTCGCCTTGCCCACTCTCGCCTTGCCCACTCTCGCCTTGCCCACTCTCGCCTTGCCCACTCTCGCCTTGCCCACTCTCGCCTTGCCCACTCTCGCCTTGCCCACTCTCGCCTTGCCCACTCTCGCCTTGCCCACTCTCGCCCTGCCCACTCTCGCCTTGCCCACTCTCGCCTTGCCCACTCTCGCCTTGCCCACTCTCGCCTTGCCCACTCTCGCCTTGCCCACTCTCGCCTTGCCCACTCTCGCCTTGCCCACTCTCGCCTTGCCCACTCTCACCTTGCCCACTCTCGCCTTGCCCACTCTCGCCTTGCCCACTCTCGCCTTGCCCACTCTCGCCTTGCCCACTCTCGCCCTGCCCACTCTCGCCTTGCCCACTCTCGCCTTGCCCACTCTCGCCTTGCCCACTCTCGCCTTGCCCACTCTCGCCGTGCCCACTCTCGCCCTGCCCACTCTCGCCCTGCCCTGCCACCACCTGCATTGCGAGCGCCAGCAACCTATGCGAGGAGAGGAAGAGGAGAAATAGGGGTAGATAATCAAATTCCCCCTTGTTTTTGTTCCTATATCCCTTTTCAAGCCCTGCCCACTCTCGCCCTGCCCTGCCACCACCTGCATTGCGAGCGCCAGCAACCTACGCGAGGAGGGGAGGAGGAGAAATAGGAGCAAAGAATCGAATTCCCCCTTGTTATCGGTTCTTGGTCCCGTTTTCACCCTATGTCCAACTCTCGCCCTGCCACCACCTGCTTGACTAGTGTCAGCCAATGGAAGAGGCCCAAATCCATTCGTTAGCAGCATTCGCGATAGTAGTGCTAGAATTTAATCAAAGTCGTGTAAGAAACAGTAGAGTTAGCTACATTTGTATCAGGAACACTCGAATTGGCAACATTCGAATCAGTAACCCTTGAATTAGCAACAGTGCCAGCAGCAGCATTCGCAGCAGCATTCAACCTAGTTTCGATATTAGAGCATGCGTACCGCCAACAAACGAGAAGCCGTCGCCGATTGATACGGGCGCGTCGATTAATCCACTGCCGTCGTCGTCATCCTCGATATAGAAATTCCCGTTATCGTCCTCGTCGACATACAGCGATCTCACGAAGCGTACAGGTCCGCGACTAGCAGAAAAACGACTGCCTTGAGCGTCCGAGCTACTAACGCGGATAATGTTTCGCAACTTGATCCCGTGAAATGCGGAATGCGGCAAGAGATTCGAGCCACGTGAGGGAATAATGCGGCCAGTGTGGCTCAGAACTGGGTGACGTGCTCGTGACTGCCACGTGGCATCTGGGAGTTGAGATTGCCGGGTGGCCGGAAGAACTGACGCCAAGCCGGTTACCGGGTTACGCGCCGCAATCGACGACGCGAGAGGCGCCATGTCACCTTGAAATGTCACGGTTTGGGAGAAATCACCAGACAAGTTGATAAACGGTAGCACATTCTCGCTAAGGACAAACGCGTTTGTGAGTAATTTCTACAAACATGCGGAAACGAATTTGTTGATTACATGCTTTCCTATTTGAGTATCGGGTTAACCTCTGTAATGGATTCAATGGGTTCTATCAGTGTTGAGTGTACTCGTTCCATATCAAAAGCGAATGTGGATGAGATGGAGCCGCGAAAAACTATTCGCTGTTTGGGGCGAAGCGAAAGCGCACGATTTTGAATAGGGGTGGCGTTTCGCAAAATATCGACTGCGGGATTTATGGACGTTTGAGGTGCGCAGTTCCGTCAACGAATCTGACAAACAAGCGAAATGCGCCGTCGAAGTGTCCAAACGTGGTCAGTCCTTGAGCAAATTTCGCAGCCGTCGTCGCGCGTAGCTTTGACGAGCGCCACGGTTTGCGCACCGCAACTATCACCAGCACGGGAACGGTAACCAGGGCAGCCCGTAGCTCCCTAAATTCTTCCCAAAGAAAGGTTTTAGGGTGCGAATTGCGCAAGCAGTAAGCGGAAATCGTCAATGTGATAGGAATGATACCAAAAAAGTGGATGAAATTGAACGGAACAGAAACATTCCTCACCTCTTCGCCACATCCAGATCCGAATCGCCCATGACGAGGCGCGACGGTCCAATGTGAAGCATCTGATCAAACCAATTTCATCGACTGTGCGGAATGGAAATCTGATGGGGGGCATAGCAGAACTCCATAAAGCTTCCACGCAATTTTGTTCCTCCCGAAACCCTCGTAATCTAACCCAGTATATCCAGAAACGTTTTTAACCCAATTAAAACTCTTTCTTTACCTCCACCTAACAAATTGGCGCAAAACCATTCGCTGATCGCAGTCGACAGTTTGAAGGAGCACCTTCCAAGCTCCTTCAGTCAGACACAGCACAATTGCACGTTCCACTCAAGCCAACAGTGCATATTCAGCCTACGCGCCACAAACTGGCCTCGTTTGCGCTGTCATCCTCCCTCCCCTCGCACCCTCCACAAACACCCACGTGGATTTCCGATCGCTTGCGCGACACGCGGTGGGACTAGCGCTTGTCCGTGCGACCAATGGGAAAAGAAGCCAGGGCGAGGCGATGCGACCTGCGGGAGCCATCAATCAATCCCCTCGTATAGGAATCGCAACGAACGAAACTCTTCGAGGGGAATACGGCCAGAGCCTAAGTCTAGCTGATTTAGCCGCAGCACGCAACTTGCCACTACCACCTGAGTCAGGTCAGGTAGGTTCGAGCCTAGGTTCCTTTGATCCGACAAGCCGTCCCAGATCCAAGCTCCTCATTCCCAGTCTCTATGGGTCCACGTGTCCTCCCGACCCGACCCGAGTAGCAGGCATTCAAGCCTACACAGGCTGTACTAGGAGAAAAGCCTCCCCTGTTACCAGATGAGCGACGTGCTTGAATGACAAGCGTTTCATCCCCCTGTTCGGTCTTTGAGACATCGCTACCTGAGGTGCCTCAATAAGCATAGCCCCTCTCTAGAGGCTGCTCGTTCGTTCGTTGTCGTGAAACGTGCTTAGAGTAACACCCTTGTGGTCCTTGATGCCTCGCTCCCGACTTTCCAGGTGAAAGCTCTCTCCGCAGCTTTCATTCTCGACGGATAAGCCGGACTCGTCTGTCGTGGCCTGGTCGTGCAGCTCCCCTGGCTCTCTGTAGTTCTCCTCGTCCCTCTCATCTCCTCGTGCCTCTCATCTCCTCGTGCCTCTCATTGCCTGGGCCCTCACTCCTGGCTCGTTATTCCCCTCGCACCTCCCTTACTACCGCTCTCTCCTGGCCTTCCCGCTGCGGCTGCTCTCTTGCAGAGTGGTTCCATCTTGGGGGCATTATACACACCATTCTCACACAACGACCGTCATTACAATCGTCACCCACCGCAGTAAAAGCGTCGGCCTCTGCCTCAGCCGCACCCGGTCGCAGCGAAACCTCTCGCATCCAGTGCGTAAGCCCCTCGCCGCACGTGCGTAACCACTTACATGCTCTTCGTAGGAGTACGTCGCGCATTGCGTCGAAAGATGCAGCGAGTTTCTCCTAGTTGTTGTTAGCCCTAGAGTAGGAACTGTCCCTGGACTCTCTGATTCCCAAAGTGAGGGCGACGTCCCCATACCCGTTTTAAGAAGCCGCAGTACACGACACAGACAAACTTTCTCTATACTTTCATATTGTAGCCAAGCAGCACCGCGAACGAAACATCGGCGGACCAAAGCGCAACACTTTCCGCCATAACTTCCCACGCGCCATGGGTCCCCCTCGGCGCATATGTTCTCCGCTATCGCATCCGCCCCCCGCCTCTCGCCTCCGCCCCCCCCTCCGCCTGCTCTCTCCCAGCACTCTCCTGCTATGCGTGCTCGCGACGTTCGTCCTCTCCGCATCACGCGCCGCAGCGTACGGCGCTCCGGGAGGCGCAATGGCCACGTTTTACGGCGGACCCGACGCGTCGGGCACTTGGGGTGCGTTTTACGGTTGCAAGAGGTTGAGAGGGGTTGGATCGTGGGGCTAAATCGAGCGAATGCTGTTGAGGGCCAGTATGTAGTAGAGCACAACTTGACGTTACCAGAGTCAGCTCTTCGCCAGGTTGCCTGTCCCTTTTCGCCTAGCAAGTGGTAACTGCGAACGATGAAGTCGTATGTCTAACGCTTTATTGAACGGCATTCGCTGCAGGTGGTAACTGCGGTTACGGGAATCTCGTGCAAGCCGGTTACGGCATCCTCGTCGCGGCGGGGAGTCCCCCTCTTTACAAGGGCGGGAAGGGATGCGGCGCTTGCTACCGGTACGTGTTCGCTCCTTTTTGTCACAACATCCAGTCTATCACGACCTCACGCATCGCCAGCTTTCTTGGTGTTGTTACAATCCCCAATTTCAAGTAGAAGAGCCCTGAGGTCGTATGTCTAACTCTGTGACTCGTTAGGTCTATCATTTGTGGTGTTGTTACGGTCCCCAATTTCAAGTTGAAGAGCCCTCCCCTCTTGTCTCCTCCTATTCTTCCCGTCCCGGGCTTTTTCCCTCTGTGCTCTCCTCTCCAACGCTTCCCCGCATTATTCCTTTTCTCCCCTTCCCCCGATCGTTTCTTTCCTCGAACGGGCCGTTCTATCTTATCACAGGATATCGTGTACCAACAGCACGTATTGCAACAAGGGCGTATCCATCGTGGTCGCTATAACGGATCTCTGTCCTGGCGGGGGTTGGTGTTGCCCCACCTGTCGCCACTTCGACCTAAGCGAACCTGCTTTTATCGCGCTTGCGAACCGCGCCGCCGGTTTCGTTCCCCTCGCCTACGAACAGTAAGTCTCCGATATGAGGGAACTCGCTACTGAAACTTCCACGTTCCATTTGTTACTCTCATTTAGACACACCGTTGAAGTTCGTTTTGTCGATTGGCCTTCATGTTATTTGTCCCCACCCCCTTGATATCGGGTAGTGCCCTCAATCAACACTCGTTGCCTCATTTTCTTGTTTTCCAATCACAGAGTGCCATGTGTCTTCTCCAACAACATTCGCCTCACCGCTACCGGGTCGCCTTTTTGGCTGAACCTTCTGATTCGCCAAGTCGCGGGTCCCGGCGACCTTTCGCTTGTCGAGGTGATGGACTCAAATTCGCCTACGTGGAGACCGATGCGACACGACTGGGGTGCGAATTGGGTGTACGAATCATTCCTTCAGGCGCCGCTCAAGTTTCGCCTAACTTCGCTTACGGACAAACAGCAAGTGGTTACCACACCCAACTGCCTCCCGGCTGGTTGGGTTCCGGCGAAGGACTACGACTGCAACATTCAGTTTTCGTTCGCTGGCGACGGGATGGATGGTAACCACGGAGGGCCACATGGCGACGGTAGTGGTTTATCAGATGCCGCTCCCAGGAATCGAACCAAGGTCACTCGCCCCAACAAGAATAAAAAGTCTCCAGCCAAGAGTCCGGGTACCCCCCAGAGTCCGGGCAGCCCCAAAACTCCGGGCAATCCGAAGTCCCCCGGCACCCCCAAGTCCCCGGGTAAATCACCCAGCAAGCCTCCTGCGACCAATTCACCTGGCAAATCGCCCGCCAAACCTCCTTCCAAATCGCCACCGACTAAGAACGGCAACAACGGAAGCAAGGACAACAAGAGCGGGAACAACAACGGGAACAACAACGGCAACAAGAATGGCGGAAGCAAGAACACCAATAACGGCAACAAAAACGGAAGCAACACAATCAATGGCGGTGGCAGCAGCAGAAGTGGTGGGGACAATAAGGAAGGGGGGCATCCGCCTTACGTTGGGCACCATCCCGAGGGAGTGGGCCACAGACCTGCAGGTGTGGGTCACCACAAGCCTCGGAAAGGAGGCTCGGCATCAGCTTCGGCGGCGGTTCCAGACGTTGGGCACCATCCCGAGGGAGTGGGCCACAGACCTGCAGGTGTGGGCCACCACAAGCCTCGGAAAGGAGGCTCTTCAGCGGTGGTGGCACCAGCGGCGCCGAGTGCGTCTGTGGGTGTTGGAGTGAATTCAGTGGATGTAGCTACAACTGCAGCAGCACCTGCAGCACCACAACACTAGAGTGTCATTGGCAGCAACAGCGGCAGTGGAGGTGGCCCTGGCAGTGGCGACAATTGCAGCAGCACTTGCACCACTGACAAATATATGAGGTAGGTAAGGTATACCACGAGTGTAACCACCAGGTGGAGGTGGACAAATGGATGAGGTGAGGACATGAAGGGATTTATGTGGGTTGGTGAGGTGCTTACTTGGTGATACATGGTTCATTAAGGTGCAACACTGTTTCTAACAGGTGGGGGCTGGATTACATTTTGCGTAGCACGAGTAGGTTTCTATGTTTATGGACAGTAACCTTTTTCATTAGTCCAAGTAGGGGCATCTTTCGGGCTTGATTTATTTATCCCACTAAACTAGATTCGGGCTGCCTCTTTGCATCTGGATGCATGAGCAGCTTTTGCTGCTGTATGGCGTTTGGTAATTTCTTCATGCGCATGCTTCGTGCGATGAAGGCAGCTGTAGCTAACTTGTAGGGGCTGTAGTTCTACTAATACCGTGTACTTGGTTTCAGTTTCGGCTTCCTTGCCTTCCATGTTCATGCACACATTCTTGCCAGGCTGGAAAGCAAATACTGTCATACCCCGGATAAACCCCCATGGGGGGCACTAATAAAACATGTTTTTTTTTAGGGGGTGGGCTTATACTATAGTAAAATTATAAGCGCCGGCGTTTATGTTATGTCAAAAATGAAATTTGTTTCTAAATATACCAAATCGAAGCATTCTCAAAGGCGAATTCACCTGAGTCGAGAACGTTCGAAATTGTGCATGCTTTGCGCGTGAAGCGGCCAACAAGGCGTGGCATGACTCCTTCCACGCCTTATTGGTCAGGCCAGGTTCATCGAACGTGAACCTGGCCCATGCCAGCGCACACGTACTTCGCATCACAGCGGCCCAATCATGGTTGCATGCGATCGTGGGCACGTCGTGGTTCAGCCACGACGTGCCCATCAACATCAAGATTCCCTGCCACAGAGGCAAAGAGCTTCCCATCTCAGCTCCTCTGCGGGGAATCTTGACTGTGGCTGGACTTTCCTCGCAGAGGAAGCCGGGCCGCAAAACTGAAGGGGTCTCGGGCGAGGGCTTCATACGGCCCTGATTCAGTTTT